AGTGATTACTTGGACGAAGCGTTAACACCAGGTGCTTAATAACTAGCCATGTTTAGCAGTACGTTGTGCTACACGTAGGAGATTTGCTAATGGAACTCATCATCGTACCACTTATCAATATGTCTCGCCTGAGCCGCAATAGGCCTATTCACTTTTTAAGAACCTGCTAGCACCAGTTGGTGTCGCGTGGCAATGTTTGGCAGGCATGTGTTACAGCGCGAGGATATGTAATACAACCCTTCATGTTTGCCAAATCATCGATGGCCACATCTCTCCTCTGTTTAACTGTTTGAGGCATTCTGATTGTTATAACCATTTCCAGGCGACTGCGCTGCCGCGACTGTTTCTAAATTGGGGATTGTAATTCCGTAGCAATTTGCCTAGTTTGAATATAAACGGCAAAGGCTCTTCCCGTTTTGATACAATATTATAACTAATAGCTCACACTATAGAATGTTATACTGAAGCGAGAATAAAGGTCAAAAAATCATTGAAAATTTTATTAATTGAGAGCAGCGTTTAGCAATAGGTGTTGATCATCTGCCGCCACTGTTTGCATCATGACTTGTTACACGTATATAAGGGAATTGTAGTGCAGCCCGTTCATATTTGCAAATTATTAGTCAACATCTCTCCCCTGATTAAACATCAAATCATTCTTTATAAATATGATGACGTAGCAAATATCAAGGTAAATGCGCTTTTCACATATACCAAAGCCCCATATGCATGTAAAGATAAAGGTCTACTTGTTACCAGATGTCTAATACACGCGCACACTCCACACCAGCAAGGAAGCTGCTCAAACGGAATGTGTCCATTTACTGCTGCTTTTATATACAACCAAACCAATATGGCGAAAACCAACGTTTTGCCGCCAAGGAATTAGGGGACGGAAGACGAAGCGTGTGCTTTGGCGACTTTTGGTAATAAAATTGAAGATGTATGGAACCTGGCCAGCTCTTGCAATACAAGAATAAACTATATAAATACACACACGCATAAGTGATTAGGTGGGGGAGGGGATAACAGAGAGAGAGAGAGAGAGAAAGAGAGAGATGATGAAGTAAAAGTAGATAGGTTGAAGAGTAGATCGTGAAAGCTAGCCTTCAAAAGGAAAGGCGTGGATGATATAATGGTAATGTTGGTGTGAGACTGTCATGGGGGGGGGTAAGATGAGTAGGGTGGGGGAGGGAAGTGAGGAAGAAGACCAAGGCAAACTGGGACAACAGACCGAGTACAATATCTATATATTTGTGTGTGTGTGTGTGTGTGTGTGTGTGTGTGTGTGTACGTGCGTGTATGCGTGTGTGCATGCGTTCGTGCGTGCGTCAGTGCATATGTATATGAATGTGGATATATACATACCCATGTTCATGCTTTAAGCAGGGCGGAAGTAATGCGAGTGCAGAATCTTAATCAGGGGGGAGTTGATCATAGACAAGGACAGAGAAGTTTTACCTTACAATGACATAGAGAAGAACAGG